CACATTAAAAGGATCATACACCATGATCAAGTGAGATTTATCCTAGGGATGCAAGGATTCTTACATATACACAAATCAATCAATGAGATACACCATATTAACAAATTAAGGAATAAAAACCATATAATCACTTCAATAGATGCAGAAAAAGCTTTTGGCAAAATTCAACACCGATTTATGATAAAAACTCTCCAGAAAATGAGCATAGAGGGAAACTACCTCAACATAATAAAGGGCCATATATGACAAACCCACAGCAAGCATCATTTTCAATGGTGAAAAACTGAAAGCATTTCCACTAAGATCAGGAACAAGACAAGGATGTCCACTCTTGCCACTATTATTCAACATAGTTTTGGAAGTCCTAAAAGAAATAAGAGTAATCCAAATTGGAAAAGAAGGAGTAAAACTGTCACTGTCTGTAGATGACATGATACTATACATAGAAAATCCTAAAGATGCCACCAGAAAACTACTAGAACTAATAAATGAATTTGGTAAGGTTGCAGGATACAAAATTAATGCACAGAAATCTCTGGCATTCTTATACACCAACAATATAAAATCAGAAAGAGAAATTAAGGAAACAATCCCACTTACCATCGCAACAAAAAGAATAAAATACCTAGGAATAAACCTGCCCTAGGAGGCAAAAGACCTGTACTCAGAAAACTATAAAACACTGATGAAAGAAATCAAAGATGACATAAACAGATGGAAAAATATACCATGTTCTGGGATTGGAAGAATCAATATTGTGAAAATGACTATACTACCCAAAGCAATCTACAGTATCAATGCAATCCCTATCAAACTACCAATGGCATTCTTCACAGAATTAGAACAAAAAATTTTACAATTCATAGGGAAACACAAAAGACCCCAAATAGCCAAAGCAATCTTGAGAAAGAAAAATGCAGTTGGAGGAATCAGGCTCACCCACTTCAAACTATACCATAAAGCTACAGTAATCAAGACAGTATGGTACTGGCACAAAACCAGTATAGATCAATGGTACAGGATAGAATGCCCAGAGATAAACCCACGCACATATGGGCACCTAATTTACGACAAAGGAGGAAAGAACATACAGTGGAGAAAAGACAGCCTCTTCAATAAGTGGTGCTGGGAAAACTGGACAGCTACATGTAAAAGAATGAAATTAGAACACTCTCTAACACCATACACAAAAATAAACTTCAAGTGGATTAAAGACCTGAATGTAAGACCAGACACTATAAAACTCTTAGAGGAAAACATAAGAAAAACACTCTTTGACATAAAGACACTATTTGCATATGACAAGATACTCTATATAGAAAACCCTAAATTCTCCACCAAAAAACTATTAGAACTAATAAATGAATTCAGTAAAGTTGCAGGATACAAGATTAATATACAAAAATCTGTTGCTTTTCCATATGTTAATAATGAACTATCAGAAAGAGAAAGCAAGAAAACAAGCCTGTTTAAAATCCTATTCAAAATCGCATTAAGAAAACCTAGGAATAACTGTAACCTCAGAGGTGAAAAACCTATACTCTGAAAACTATAAAACATGAATGAAAGAATTTGAAGATGATAAATGGAAATGGAAAGACATCCCACGTTCCTGGATTAGAAGAATTAATATTGTTAAAATGTCCACACTACACAAAGCAATCTACAGATTTAATGCAATCTCTCTCAAAATACCAATGGCACTTTCCACAGAACTAGAACAAATCATACTAAAATTTATATGTAACCACAAAATACCCCAATTTTCCAATGCAATCTTGAGAAAAAAGAACAAAGCTGGAGGTATCACATGCCCTGACTTCAGAGTATACTACAAAACTACAGTAATCAAAACAGCATGGTGCTGGCACAAAACAGAAAATTAGATCAAGGAACAGAAAAAAGAGCCCAGAGATAAACCCAAGCACATATGGTCACCTAATTTATGACAAAGCAGGCAAGAACGTACAATGGAGAAAAGACAGCCTCTTTAATAAGTGGTGCTGGGAAAACTGGACAGCTACATGTAAAAGAATGAAATTAGAACGTTTTCTCACACCATATATAAAAATAAACTCAAAATGGATTAAAGATCTAAATGTAAGACCTGAAATGATAAAACTCCTAGAACACAGCATAGGCAGAACACTGGCATAAATCACAGCAATAATTTTTTGGATCTGTCTCCAAAGGCAAAAGAAACAAAAGCAAAGATAAACAAAGGGGACCTAATTAAACTTAAAAGCTTTTGCACAGCAAAGGGAACCATGGTCAAAAAGGAAAGACAGGGGCCTTCCCTGGTGGCGCAGTGGTTGAGAGTCCGCCTGCCGATGCAGGGGACACGGGTTCGTGCCCCGGTCCGGGAAGATCCCACATGCCGCGGAGCGGCTGGGCCCGTGAGCCATGGCCGCTGAGCCTGCACGTCCGGAGCCTGTGCTCCGCAACGGGAGAAGCCACAAGAGTGAGAGGCCCGCATACCGAAAAAAAAAAAAAAAAAAAGGAAAGACAACCTACAGAATATTTGCAAATGATGCAACCAACAAGGGGTTTTTATGCAAAATATACAAACAGCTCAGACAACTCAACATCAAAAAACCAAAAAGTCCGATTAAACAATGGGCAGACCTGAATTTTTCAAAATTCAGACATTTTTCCAAAGAAGACATACAGATGGCCAACAGGCATACAAATAGACACTCAACATCACTAATCATCAGAGAAACACAAATCAAAACCACAATGAGTTATCCCCCCACACCTGTCAAAATGGCCATCTTCAAAAAGTCCATAAATAACAAATGTTGGCAAGGATATAGAGAAAAGGGAACCCTCTTGCACTGTTGGTAGGAATGTAAATTGGTGCAGCCACTGTGGAAACAGTATGGAGATTCCTCAAAAAACTAAAAATAGAACTACCATATGATCCAACAATTCCACTCCTGAGTGTATATCTGAAGAAAATGAAAACACTAATTCAAAAAGAAACATGCATCCCAATTTTCATAGCAGCATCAATTTACAATAGCCAAGATATAAAAGCAACCTAAGTGTCCCTCAAGAGATAAATGGATATGGAACTCCCTGGTGGCCCAGTGGTTAGGACTTGGTGCTTTCACTGCCAGGGCCCAGGTTCAATCCCTGATTGGAGAACTAAGATCCCACAAGCTGACTGGCATGGCCAAAAATAAAACCAAAAAAACAAAGCAAAACAAAGAGATGAATGGATAAAGAAGATGTATCGGGTGTGTGTGTGTGTGTGTGTGTGTGCGTGTGTGTGTGTGTGTTTATATATGTATGTTTACTCAGCCATAAAAAAGAATGAAATTCTGCCATTTGCAACAACATGGATGGACCTAGAGGGTATTATGCTTAGTGAAATAAGTCAGAGAAAGTCATATGCTCTATGTTATCACTTACATGTGGAGTCTAAAAAAATTTTTATAAAACAAATGAATATAACAAAACAAACAGACTCACAGATATAGAGAACAAACTAGTGGTCACCAGTGGGAGAGAGAAGATGGGAGGGGCAAGATAGGGGTAGGGGATTAAGAGATATAAACCACTACACATAAAATAAATAAGCAACAAGGATATATTGAACAGCACAGGGAAGTGTAGCCATTATTTTGTAGTAACTTTAAATTCTATTAAAATATTGAATTACTATGCTGTACACCTGAAACTAATATATTATTATAAATCACCTATACTTCAATTAAAAACATAAGAAGACAACTCAACTTAAAAATGGGCAAAAGATTCAGAGACATTTCTCCAAAGAAAATATACAAATGGCCAGTAAGCACTTGAAAAAATGTTTAACGTCACCAGTAATTAAGGAAATGCAAATCAGAACTACATTAAGTTACTTCATACCCACTAGAACAGCTAAAAAAAATTTTTTTAAGATAATAACAAATGTTGATAACAATGTGGAGAAATTGGAATCCTCATATATATTGCTTATGGGAATGGAAGTTTGGAAAAAGTTTGGCAATTCCTCAAAAGGTCAGAGATAGAGGTACTATATGACCCCAGCAATTCTACTCCTAAATATATACCCAAGAGAAATGAAAGCATGAGGCCACACAAAAATTTGTACACAAAAATTCATGGCAGCATTATTTATAATAGTCAAATAGTAGAAACTCAAGTGTCCATCAATTAATGAATGGATAAAGTTGAATCCATACAATGGACTATTGTTCAGCGATAAAAAGGAATACTGACACATATTACAACATGGATAAACCTTAAAAACATTATGCAAAGCGAAAGAAGCCAGATACAAAAGGCAACAGACTATATGATCTATCTCTGAAATGTTCAGAACAGGCAATCCATAGAGATAAAAAGTAGATTAGTAGTTGCCAGGGACTTGTGGAAGGGAGGAATGGGCAGTGACTACTAACAGATACGGTGTGTCTCTTCGGGCTGGTAAAATGTTCTAAAATTAGACAGTGGTGATGATTATATAAATCTGAAAACCGCTGAATTTTTCATTTTTTAAATGGTGAATTTTATGGTATGAGAATTCTATCTCAATAAAGCTGATATTTTTAAAATCTTAGGTACACCTGCCACCAAGATTCTGACAGTGCACCTTCTCCACTGACAGGACAGTATTCCCACAATAGGTTTTTCAAACTATAGAGTTACATTACTGAAAATGTTTTTTTCAAATTCTGCTGCTCTATCTCCTTGAAGGACATGTCTTCCTGGTTGAAAATCACTGGTCAAAACTATAGTAAATTACATAAAATTAAATGATTAATGATGGTAATAAGATTAGTACTAGACATTCTCTGTAGAAATAACTGTCATTATTTTTATTATTAATATTGTAACTCAATGAAACTGAGTTATAGATTAGTGCCTGTAACAAGGTTAATGGCTACTTAATGAAGATTGTTGAAATCAGATTATCTCAGAAATAACAACATTGAACCTAATTTTCATCTTTTCTGACACTCAAACCATTTTTATCCAAAACTTACGTGGTGTAGCCATTTTTGTGAAGATAGGAGTCACAATATCTTCCAATTGCTGTTTCTGCTCAAAAAGCTCATTAATGGAAGCTTCTAAATGGGTTTCCAGCCATTCATTTTTTATACGGCATGCATTGAGGATGGTATTCTAGAGACAGAAACAAAGAATTTACCTTCCACTTGTTTATTTAAAAATAAAACTCTATATAGTAACTCTAAACCAGCACTGTGCAACAGAACTTTTTGTGATGATGGAAATGTTCTGTATCTGCATTGTCCAATACAGTCACCATTAGACATACATAGCCAATGAGCACTAGAAAAGTGGCTGAGGAACTGAATTTTTAATTTTATTTAATTTTAATTAATTCTAATTTAAATAATCTCATATGGCTAGGGGCTACTATATCTGACAGTGCAGCTCTAACATTAGTGGAATGTGCGTATAAAGAAACTCATAATCTAGAGTCATGAAGCCTTGGGCCAGTCTACACCTTCTCCCTAATTCTTTATTTTCAATGAGCCTGTGATAAAGAAAAGTGTTTGCAAAGGTTGGAAAAAAACAGGTGGATGGTATGAGCTGCATGCAACTCAACGGGCAATGCCGAGGATATTTTATTCTTTCTCAGGTGGTTCACAGAAGAAAGTGCAAGAAATGCAAAAAGAGCTTCACCTCACTGAAAACCTCTCAATTTGCATTGCAGAACCATCTCTTTGCACATGAGCAGCAAACTGCTGATATCTGATTTAAGATGTTCATTACTCTATAGTTTGTAATAATATAGAGACACGAATAAATGTATATGCAAAAAAATAAAAAATAAAATAAAGGGCTTCCCTGGTGGCACAGTGGTTGAGAGACCGCCTGCCGATGCAGGGGACACGGGTTCGTGCCCCAATCCGGGTAGATCCCACATGCCACGAAGCGGCTAGGCCCGTGAGCCACGGCCGCTGAGCCTGCGCGTCCGAGCCTGTGCTCCGCAACGGGAGAGGCCACAACAGTGAGAGGCCCGCGTACCGCAAAAAAAAAAAAAAAGGAATAAATGAAGGAAGGGAGGGAGAAGATAGCAGTGAGGACCGCTACCTACCTCTAGTGCATTAGTGTAGAAATTAAAGATACAAGGCAAAAATCTCGGAAGACTTCAGAGCAAACTATAATCACAATGCAGTACCTTGTCTTCCTTAAAAAGCTTCCCTGGTCCCTTTGCTGTATCTGTAACAATTGCAGAGACGTTTGCGATATATTTTTTTAGCGCCAGCCTTGCATCTGAAAGAATAGAACAGTAAAATGCATATTAATAAGACAAAGACCAAAAAATATGCATGACAAACATTACATGCTTGTAATGTACATTTATATCTCCAGAGTTTTATAAAGACTGTATAGGAGATTTGTTGCAGTTGTTTTCCTTGGGGAACTTCAAAAGGATAACATTCAACTAGCACAGCACTTTGGGGCACTCACTGTATTCCTAGAATTGCGCTGAAATTTTTAAAGAGCAAATAAACATAAAATGTGATACCCGATACCAAAGAGACTATAGTCTATCAAAATACCTACTCTGGGGAAAGGAACAAAAAACATTTCCAAGAGAAAAACTGTCACTTGCTTTACCCTTCTTTATCCTTCAAAATAAATTCAAATAGCTTCCCTCTTTAAAAAAAAAAAAGTGTTTAAAATAATTCCATTCTCTATAGCACACGTCACAAAATTTGCAAGACCTGTTTAAAAAAATTACAACACTTTGAGAGAAATAAAAGACTCAAGTAAATGGAAAGCTTTACCATATTCTTAGACAGAACAACTGAATATAGTAAATGGTAGATTAGCCTCAAATTAATTCAACAATTGATGTATTCGTTTCCTGTGGCTGCTATAACAAATTGCCATAAATTTGGTGGCTTAAAGCAACACAAGTTTATAGTTTATCCCCTTACAATTCTGGAGGCGAAAAGCCTGAAATCAGTTTAGCTGATTGTGTTGGCAGGGGAGATTCTTTCTGGGGGCTCTGAAGGGAGAATCTATTTTCTTGCTGTTTTCAACTTCTAGTGGCAGCCTGTACCCCTTGGCTGTGCCTCCTTCCTCCATCTTCAATCAAACTACACCACTCCAATGTCTAGCTCCATCATCAAATCACCTTCTCCTGGGCTTCCCTGGTGGTGCAGTGGTTGAGAGTCCGCCTGCCGATGCAGGGGACACGGGTTCGTGCCCCGGTCTGGGAAGATCCCCCATGCCACGGAGCGGCTGGGCCCGTGAGCCATGGCCGCTGAGCCTGCGCGTCCGGAGCCTGTGCTCCGCAATGGGAGAGGCCACAGCAGTGAAAGGCCCGCGTACAGAGGGAAAAAAAAAAAAAATCACCTTCTCCTCTTCTGTGTCAAATCTCCTGCCTCTCACTTATAATAAAGACAGTTGTAATTACATTTAGGTCCCACCTGGATAATCCAGGATAATCTCCCCATCTGAAGATCCTTAATTTAAGGATCTGCAAAATCCCATATGAGGTGACATTCACAGGTTCCAGGGATTAGAACCTAGATATCTTTGGCAGACTTTTTTCAGCCTACCACAGTCGGCCCTCTGACCTCCCAAAACTCCTACATATCCCCCATGCAAAATACATTTACCCCATGCCAACATCCAAAAGTTTCAACCCATTACAACATCAACTCATGTCCAAATGCTCATCTAAAATATCATCAGCTCCAAAGTCTCATCTCATCATCTAAACAAGGTATGCATGAGACATTAGTATGATCCATCTATCTTGGGGTAAAATTCCTCTCCATCTGTAGACCTGTGAAACTAGAAAACAAAGTTCTCTGCTCCCAAAATACAATGGTGGGACAGGCACAGAGCAACAGTTATAGATAATGCCATTCCAAAAGTGAGAAATTAGAGGAAAAAAGGAGTCACCACACTCCCAAGTAATTTTGAAATCCCACAGGGCAAATTCTATTAGGTATCAAAGCCTGGGGATAATCATCTGTGGTGTAAGGCTCCATCCTCTTGGCCTGCAGCTCCAGCCTGAGTCATCCTTCCTTTTTCATGAAAGACAGCACGTTTTTGCAGCTGAATAGTTTTGTCAGTCACAGCTTCAAACCCACCATTCATGTTGCAAACAGAATTAATTCCCTAAACTGGAATCCAAGGTTTAGGTTTTGGCTCCACTAGCTGGGTGACCTGGAGTCAGTAGTGGCCCCAGAATTTCAATACAGGATGAAGTTTAGCAGAGGAATTAGCTGGAAGAGGGGACTAAGGGACTTGTCATAGAACTGCATTTATATAATAAGCACACCGATTTTACTAACAGCATATATTTATTTGGGGTAGCGTGGTAGAGAAAGGAGCTTACTGCAAGCATCCTCTTAATGCCACCATAGCTGTCTTACTGCATTCATGCTGCAAAATACCACAGACTATGTAGTTTATAAACAACAGAAACTTATTTTTCACAGTTCTGGAGGCTGGGAAGTCCAAGATCAAGCTGTCAACATGGTTGCAGTCTAATGAAAACCCTCTTCCTTTATTGCCAGCACCTTCTCACTGTGCCCTCACATAGTGGATGGGGCTAGGGAACTCTGTGGGGACTCTTTTATAAGAACACTAATCCCATTCATGAGGGCTCCACCTTCATGTCCTAAGCATCTCCCAAAGGCCCCACTTCCTAATAGCATCACATTGGGCATTAGGATTTCAACATATGAATTTGGGGGGAACACAAACTTTCAGACCATAGCAATATCTTAACCCCACTAACCTCAGTTTCTCCATCTAGAAAATGGAAGTATTATAGCACCATCCTCATAGGGTTGTTGTAAGAATTAAACACAATGTATTATAGTATAATGCATGCAGACGTCTTGACACAGTGCCTGTCACACAGTAAAGCACTCAATAAGTTTATTATTATGTCACTCCTCTCCTCAAAACTCTGTAAATGACTCCCTATTGACTACTGAATAAAATGTGGGGCCTTCCAAGATCTATCTAGCCACAAACTATCTTTCCAGCTTCATCCCTTGCAACATTCATCCAGAGACCCTGTCCATTATTTACCCCCTGTTTCCTCTGCTCCCAGGCTCACTCCTTCAGTTTCTCAGGTCTCTGCTCGAGCATCACCTTAACAGAGAAGCCTCTCCTGATTGCCCTCTATAAAATAACACACTCTCACTTGCTGGCAACTTCATAACCCCGTTACCACTCTATTTTTCTCCGTAACACTGCATAGATACATAGATTTAGATAATTTTATTTTCTGTGTCTCCCTACCACAAAGTAAACTCCATAAACATAAAGACTGTTTTATGCCTAGTTGTGTATGTATTCTCAGCTCCTAGAACGGTATTTAGCACATAGGAGGTGCTCAATAAATATTTATAAATGGTTGTCTAAAGGTTTACACAGAATTTCTTTGCTTATTATGTTTCCTCAACCTAAAATGCCCTCTCTGCATTGCCACCCACCAAAATTATACTCATTCTTCAAAGCTTACTTTAAAATGCACTTCTGTGAAACTCCTAATTCCCCCAGGTAGATCTCATTGTTCTATCAATTGTGACATGATTATAATCTGATTTAGCTCTGAGTTTAATCTGTCTTGTAGTTTTTTGCTTCTACCTCTAGGTTCCTTAAAGGCAGAGTCTGTGTCACCTTCTTATCATATACCATGCAGCCTCACCATCTCTTTTTCACTTACCACGCCAAATTCCCCACCCCTCACCCACTACCTGATAGTACCACATTGCCACCAAAAAGATATAGGTCAAAAGGGGGAGGGACTCAGCATTTGCTTGACTATTTGAAGGGAAGGACATTCCAGAATGAAAAAAACAGAAGCAGATGCTAGGTTGTATGAAATGATAACAGCTATAGCTACTTTGTAAGTAGATGTGAAAGTACCATACTTCAAAAGAGTTGGGGAGGATCTTCAAGATGGCAGAGGAGTAAGATGTGGAGATCACCTTCCTCCCCACAAGTACATCAAAAATACATCTAGAAGTGGAACAGCTCCTACAAAACACCTCCTGAATGCTGGCAGAAGACCTCAGACTTCCCAAAAGGCAAGAAACTCCCCACGTACCTGGGTAGGGCAAGAGAAAAAAGAAAAAACAGAGACAAAAGAATAGGGATGGGACCTGCACCTCTGGGAGGGAGCTGTGAAGAAGGAAAAGTTTCCACACACTAGGAAGCCCCTTCACAGGTGGAGATGGGGAGGGGGATGTGTGGTAAGGTTCGGAGCCACAGAGGAGAGAACAGCAACAGGGGTGCAGAGGGCAAAGCGGAGAGATTCCTGCACAAAGGATCGCTGCCAACTAGCAATCACCAGCCTGAGAGGCTTGTCTGCTCACTTGCCGGCCGGGACTGGTGGGTGCTGGGAGCTGAGGCTCGGGCTTCGGAGGTTGGATCCCAGGGAGAGGACTGGGGTTGGCTGCTTGAACACAGCCTGAAGGAGGCTAGTGCGCCACAGCTAGCCGGGAGGGAGTCCGGGAAAAAGTCTGGACCTGCCTAAGAGTCAAGAAACTTTTTCTTCCCTCTTTGTTTCCTGGTGCGTGAGGAGAGGGGATTAAGAGCGCTGCTTAAAGGAGCTCCAGAGACAGGCGCAAGCCGTGGCTATCAGCGCAGACACCTGAGACGTGCATGAAATGCTAAAGATGCTACTGCAGCCACCAAGAATCCCATGTGCAAGCACAGGTCACTATCCCCACCTGCCCTCCCGGGAGCCTTGCAGCCCACCACTGCCAGGGACAACTTCCCCGGGAGAACACACGGGGCACCTCAGGCTATTGCAACGTCACGCCAGCCTCTGCCACAGGCTCACCCCGCATTCGAATTATAACTACTGTACCCCTCCCTCCCCCCAGCCTGAGTGAGCCAGAGCCCCCTAATCAGCTGCTCCTTTAACCCCCTCCTGTCTGGGCGAAGAATAGACGCCCTCAGGCGACCTACATGCAGAGGCGGGTCCAAATCCAAAGGTGAACCCCAGGAGCTGTGTGAACAGAGAAAGGGAAATCTCTCCCAGCAGCCTGAGGAGCAGTGCATTAAATCTCCACAATCAACTCGATATACTCTGCAACTGTGGAATACCTGAATAGACAACAAATCGTCCCAAAATTGAGGCTGTGAACTTTGGGAGCAACTGTAGGCTTGGGGTTTGCTGTATGCAACAGACTAGTTTCCGATTTTTATGTTTATCTTAGTATAGTTTTCAGCACTTGTTATCATTGGTGGATTTGTTTACTGCTGTGGTTGCTCTCTTTTTTTTATTA